TTATATCGAAGTAGAATTAAGCCCACCAATATAGTCGTTATGGTATATAATTATTATTGTTGTAATATTTGTATATATGTACATAAGCATTAGTTTGCAAATAACTTTACTTTAATTTTTACAAATAAAAAATGCTATTGTTTATATAAATTTTATACTAGTAGTCTTTTTAAACAGATGTATCAAACTGGTTTAACTCCGCGGAGTACGTTTAACTGTTTCAACTTGTTGTTAAACATGTTTAGCCTTATAGAATGATTAGTGTGAAAATATTCATATAAACATGTCCGAGGGTTTAATTATGAACTACACAGGGTTGCAAAAAGCAAAATATCAACAGAAAGGAATTCAAGTATGTATATCCGCAAAGATATTGCAAAACCTGCGAAATCAATGTAATTCTTTAAATCTCTATCAAATCACAACAGCTGATTACAATAAAGTAAACAAAATGAAACGTCAAAGCTAAACATATTTACGGACCTATTGTGTGCACTTGACAGATTTGTCAAATTCTTTAATAAAATTTTTGATTTTTATAAAGCAGAAAGCTTTTTGATATTCTAGACACATCTTGACAAATTTCAAAGCTTAAGTACCTAGTGCTTCTCACCACACTATGTTGTAAAGTGTTTTGTTTAGAAAACTGTTCGTAATTGTTCGTAACTGTTCGTAAAAAATGCTTGTAAAGAGCACTTATTTTAAGTTACCAAAGGTATTTTCCATGCATTCAAATAACAATAAAAAATATGCTTATAAAGAGCGTATATTTTACTTAAGAATATTTGTCATGCATGCAAAAAATAAAAAATGCTTAAAAAGAGCATATTTTAATAGTTGTCAACAGCATTTGTAGTATTGACAACTAACTAGGAAAAGAGCTTTTTATTTATGTCACAGAATACCAAAACCTTTACAGTAGTTCATTTTGACAAGTGTCAATGTTAGTCTGTTTAAAACACAAAGTTTTCGTAAACAATTTCCATATTAAACGTGTCAAACCAGGGCCTAGGTTCAACCACTATTTTTGTTTTAATTTGCGGACCTGATTTTTTAATTATATTAAAGTACGATAACTGTATATTGTAATTTATTTGTAAACTATTTTTTATTAGAAAAAAAATGATCAAGAAAAAAGAAAGTTCACTTTATTATTAAATAATTTATTGACTTAGTATTTTAGCAAATCTAAGTATTGTTATATAATGGTAGGTATTTAATATACATATTTGATAAATTTTGTGGATTTATTTCCTAATAACCTATTTGCGCCATTTTCAGTAATAATCTGAAATAGTTTAAGCAATAATTGCACAAATATTATATAAAAAAATATCAACAGCATTTATTTAAATAAGTTTATCATACATTGAAAATGTTGAACAGCGACATCAATTGATTTATTATATTAAATTTATTTAAAACTGTAAAGTATTAGTTAGGAGTTCTAGCAGTTCTAGCAAGAGTACAAATTTATTGAACATAGGTTTGCAGTACTGAATTTAAACTACACATTTCATTTGCAGTCTGTTTTTTTTTTTATTTCAAAAACACTTAAATTTATATTATTACAATAGGTAGGTTGGAAGGTGAATGTATCTGCCGACTTTCTGGATAACCACTCGATATACTTAAGTCAAATTTGTAGCTTTTGACACTACATCTTCCCAGTAAGGACTCTAAATGAATACATTCTCGTTGAACTGTTGTGTTATTGTAAGAAGCCTCAGTAGCTTTGAAAAAGAAACTCTGGTGAGGTGTCCCTCAATTGATAGCAAACAATATTTTCATCCTTTTTTGTTATACATTGGATAGGAACATAGAATTTATTTGATAGTGTCCTTTTCCTCCTCATGACTACATCTTCTGTAGTCGATGTTAGCTGTAATATCCATTTTTAAGGGGTTCTGACCTATTAGACTGTGATCAGTAATGACAACCATAACATTATTATAATTATATTTAAAATTAATATTTTATTATTATTATCATAATCAATATATTATAATTACAACAATAAAATTAAAAAAATTTAGTAATGGTTTTTGTTATAATTTTGGCAACCCTGGTGGTTAACACTTGTTGATGTTACTGACCGCTGGTCAATCAATACGTTATGCTAAATTTGTGTTACTTCCCTCCTCAAATAGCACCTGAAATCGACGTTTCTATGTTGGTAGTCCACTTATATTTCATTAAATTCATATTACTATAAGTACAAATTAAATTCAAATAAAGGTCAAGAGTTCTAAATACTCCATCCAATCAACATGAATGCTGATAACTCGAGAATTGCGTAGAAAAATAACAAAAACATAAAATATAAGCAAACAAAACCCGATACACCGATAGCGCATTAAATTTTAAATTAAAATTCAAATTCGACAAAATTAGGTAAATTTTGAAAATAGCGTAAAAAATGGGCAAAGTTAAGTGAAAAAACATATTCGCCTTAGTGATGAAGTAAATTCTATAATTTTCGAAGCTTGAAATTAATTTAGTGCTAATCATTCGTTCCTATAGAGCATGAACATTTTCAGTTTTTTTTTTTCATTTCTTTTAGAAGCAAAAGTTTACTAGGTTAAGAACAGTATTAGAATGGTGAAGTGATTAAATACATTTCAAGTTAACCCCGTTAAAAAACTCAAGTTCAATGTCAGCCAAGGCACCAATCATGCACAGTAGACAACATTGAAAGCAACTTTTGGACTGAAGCGATTCTCTGATAATTACACTTAACAGTAAAATTGTTCCATTGTGAGTTATAATTATTTTATTTCAAATTAAATATAAAATCTGTTCGAATAACATAACAAAGAAAACACATTTATAGATTGACAATTGATTGAAAAAAAATTCAACATTGACACTAGAAATACCAGAAAACGATTTGCAGATTTTAAAAATTTGACAATATCTTCTATAGACAAAACCGAAATAAAAAAATAAAAATATTGTTAATAATAATTAATAAACAATACTATTTAAAAAAAAAAACCCAAATATTAAAACAAGAACCGGCAAACGAAACAAACTCCACAACGAAACACAATCAAAAGTCAGGCTTAGACTAAAATTTATAATTGATAAAGTCTTGACATAATCATAGAATCCAACAACAACAATGATCGTAAAAAAATATCAACTTAGCTTATAGAAACGGCAGAAGATACAAATGTATAAGAAGAAGAAGATTTGTTTAAAAAAAGAACTTTGATAATGAAATAAAAAACTGAACCAAAACACGACATCGGAACTACTATACCAATAATAACAACAACAACAACAACACCGCGACAACAATAGAAAATTAACGTGTGCGTGCGCGATCAATACAACTGGACCGAGCCAACAAAAGTATTGTTGGTTAAATTGAGTATTTTATCACAGTAGCAGCAACGATACAGCATCAGCGAATAGCACAGAGCAAACGGCGTGCGGTAGAAGTCATACTTAGTGGTGCACATTACGGTTGAAAAGCTCAGTTTGTGAATGGGTTTCGTGGGAAGCGGATGCCAGAAGTGGTGTTAAAGTGTCCATAGTTTTTCTGTATAAGACATAGTAAAAGATTTCAGTGCAAGCAAATAAAACAGCGGCAACGGAGATAAATTGCAGCTGCAAGGTGAGAATTTAGCATTTGCTATAAAACTAGAAATATGCTAAAAAGTGATAAATAGTGTTTTAAATTTAAAGGAATAACAGAGGAATATCAAGTGAATTTCAAGAATATTTAATACCACCGAGTACTCTCCGTAGAAGGACTCATTTATTAAATGTAAAAATGAAGTGTTTTATTTTATAACAATAGAGATTGAATGTAAAAATAAGTGTGAAAGTGTACTATGAAATTCTAAAAAAAGTAGCAAAATCTTTATGGTTCACGAGAATTTTAGTATTTGAAAAACATTATAAACAACTTAATAACACATTTGATTATGTAACAAATTATAAAGGTTTGTGAGTATGAAATTTTAAAGTTTACAAACTCAGGTTATAGTATAAATACAGCGGCACTCATTTTAAGCACTAAAAGCATAAAATATAGTAAAAAAGATCATTAGAATTAAACGCAGTTTAAAAAAGAAAATATTTTTTCCTTTAAAAAATTTCATAAAAAATATATATTATACAAGTGGTTATATAAGTTATTTATATATATAAATCAATATAAAAATGTAATATGATAAATATATATACAAAACTAATGTTAGTAGGCAACCCAACCGAAGTTAGTATTTTCAGGCAGTACATGCTAATGTAAGAATCTTAGTTGCAATTATTATTATTAGAAACAATTTACTTATATAAAACATTAAGTTGCTAGAGTGAACAGTACTGAAATATTTCCTTTTATTTAAACGATTTTTATTTTATGTTGTGCTATTTATGTTGTGCTACTTTTAAAGATATATGTCGCACAGGGTCTTCAGATTGAAGACCTTTTCAGGTTAGATGAAAGTTAAATGTTGTATATAAAATGTTATAGATGTTATATATATTCTTTTACATAATCTCTACTTTTATTGTTTTGAGTTAAATTTATTTGTTTAATACTCTTAATTTTGTTAAATTTGTAGCACCGGAAATATAGGTTTTAATTTGTTTTTATTTCCATTCTTCTCTGGCTACGCCACTGTCTAGATTTATTCTAGATTTCTGGCAGTTCCGGGACATAAGTAAATAAATGGATGTACAATCTGCTTTACTCTTCCTAAATTTTAAAAGATATGATCACTACTTGAAATCTTTGATTTTTATACAAATTTTCAAAAGTACAATATTTCAGAAATAAAACATTAATATATTCAAAGCATAAGGTGCAGGGAAGTGAATGTGCACTCGATTTTTAGGATTAACGAAGATAAGGAGTATTGAATTTATGCGTTACTTCAAT